GGTGAGCGGGGGCCGGGGGCCGGGGACCCAGGTGTCCGAGCCGCTCGGAGTTGGGGGAAAACCCTGGGCGCCCACCCATGACTACCGCCCCCATGAGCTCCCAGAGCTGCGGAGGGACCCAGGCGTCCGAGCTCCCCCCCACACCCAAAGGGGAAGTCCGAGGCTCAACGGCAAGTGGGATGTGGCAGCTGCCCGTGCCCTCGCTCCCGATCTGCAGCTCCCCTCCCGGCCCGGCAGCCCGCTCCCTGGCTGGTGCCCCCCGCTCCAGGACCTGCTGGGACACGGCCCCGCCCCGCCCCGGGCCGGGCGGTGGTGGCAGGACACCTGGGTTCTTGTCTCCCCGCCCCGTGACTTTCCGCCTCAGTTTCCCCTGTGCGGCGGGAGCGGGGAGGATTACCGCCCAGACCCTGCCCGCGGAGGGGGCAGTGGAGCCCGGAACCAAGGCGTCCGGGGCTGCTTCTGATCTCCATGGGAACAGCCCTCCTCAGCTCTGCAGGCAGTGAGGGCCTAGTGGTTAGATCCCCAGATGCCAGGGTTTCCTCCCCAGCCCAGTGGCAGTGAGCTCATAGTGGTTAGAGGTAAGGGGCACCTGGATGCCTGGGTTCTTTCCCCAGGCCAGCGGGCAGCAGTGCCCTAGTGGTCAAGAGTCCCAGGGTGGCAGGACTCTGCTGCCTCAGTCCTGTCCCCCAGCATCTCGAGCATAGCTGTAGGGGCAATTGGAGGTCCCCCTTCTTCCGGTGTGAGTTAACCCCTGGTGCCCATGCAGCAGGCGACAGGATGGCATCGGAACATGTGCGGGACCTGCAGAGTGAGGTGGAGGGCGTCAAGAGCATCATGACGCAGAATGTGGAGCGGATCCTGGCCCGCGGTGAGAACCTGGACCACCTGCGCAACAAGACTGAGGACCTCGAGGCCACCGTGAGTCCAGAGGTGTCTGGGGGTCTCGGTGCCACGATCGCCCCTCAGCTCCCAGCCTCCACGGAAGCCCCTGGTCCCACCCTGGGAGCGGTTGCAAGCTTTAGCCACAGCCCAGCTGGGGGAGCTGCTGGGCAGGGGACTCGTACCCATATCCTGTGAGGGGATATTGGGGGCTATGGGTATCTTGGGGATCCTAGGAGACTATGGGGCCCCGGGGGGGACGGGGCGCTACATACAGGGCAGATGCGACAGGCCTGGAATCTGCAGAGAGCTTTTAACTCTGAAGCCCAGTGATGGCAGCTCGCAGACTCTCAGCCAGACACTATAGGGGGCTGCTCCGCCTCCCACTCAGATCTCCCCCCATGAGTCCCTAACCCCCTGTGCACCCCACAGTCGGAGCACTTCAAGACGACAACGCAGAAGGTGGCACGCAAGTACTGGTGGAAGAACATCAAGACCATGGTTATCATCAGCCTCATTGTTGCCATCATCCTCATCTTCATCATCCTCTTCGCTACTGGCGTCATCCCCTCCTAGGCCCTCCAGGCCCCACCCCTGGGCTGGGAGGGGTATTGGGGGCTGAAATACCGCCCCCCCACCCGACTGGGGCAAGTGGGTGGCTGGAAATGCCCCTTCCTAGGTGGGGGAGGAACCGGGGGGTGGGAACTGCCCCAGCTTGTGGGTATTTGGAGCCTGGAATTGCTCCTCCATGGCTTAGAGGAGGGATGGGGGTAGAATTACCCCACCCTTGGGGTATTGGGGTCCTGGAATTGCCCCAGCCCTGCTGGAGGGGCAGTGTGGGGCTGAACTACCCGCAAGTTGGGGCAGTTGGGAAACTAAAATTGCCCCTTCCTTGCTTAGTGGATATTGAAAGACTAGAATTGTCCCAGCCTTGGCGTATTGGGGTGGAATTGCCCCCTCCTGGCTGAGGGGCGTATTGGGGTTTGAAATTTGGGAGGGGTATTGTGGGCTGGGGCTCCCAGGCTGGTATGGGGGGTGGAGAAATTAACTCTGTGCCTTTTAATAAGGGAAGTGGCAGTCTCTGCCTTGGGGTCCCTTCTGTCCTTGGGGATCTATTAAGTGCCTGGGGTGGGGTTCCTGTTACCCCAGACCCCTCCCCCAATCTGCCTGAGAGGGGCCAGCTAGGGGTGGGGGTGTATTTTATATGCCACTGTATTTACATGCCCCTAGCCAATAAACCAGTGGAGTCAAAGGCTGCGTCTGCTGCATCCCTGTGGGTGGGGAAACTGAGGCGGGGCAGTGAACCCAAGTTCAGGGACAAAAGCCTTGCTACCAGGGCTCCTGGCAGCGCTGGTGCGGGGCCCTGCCAGGCAGTCGGGGAAGACAATGGGCGCAGTGTCTGGGATTCCCCCTCTCCCCGCTAGCAGCTGGGCTTGGGTCACAGGATGCAGAGGGAGGCGGGCAATGGGGGGTTGCCAGGGCTGGCGGGGCCCTTGGTGCCAGCTCTGGTGGAAACCCCCACCAGCATCCTGTGCTAGCGCCACCCTGCATAGTGCCTGCTATCTTTAGGTGCCTGACTCGACATGCACAGTCAAGGCTTCGGTAGAGCCCAGGCCTGGGGTAGATGGCAGGTGCTGCTCCCCCAGGACTGCGCCCTGGCTCCTGGCCCGGACGCTCCGCGGTAGGGTGCAGGGTTAACAGCGCGGGTCCAGCCCTACGGCTGCCCCGGGAGCGTCGTTAGGGTCCAGTGTAAACGCGAGGCGGGGCAGACCCAGGCCCCGCCCCCGTCCCTTCCTCCCGGGCGGGGCGCGGTGGCCCCGGGGTCACTCCGGAGTCAGTCCGGGTGCGGGCGGGAGGCAGGGTCGGGGCACTCCTGCGCCCGGAGTCTGCGGGGGACCGCTCCGGGAGCATGGTGAGCTGGCCGGGGCCGGGAGGTTGGGCGGGGGCCGGGAATCGGTGCTGCTTTTGGTTTCGGTCCGCCGGCGGCGGCGGGACCCGTGGGCTGGACTGGGCGGGGGCGGCTCCGCCGGGGCCCTGTGCCCCCCAGCACCCCCTCCCCCGCCGGCAGGTCCCTAGAGGAATGGAGCCAGAGACCCAGCCGCCCCCTGCCCCCCGCCCCCGATACCTTGATACCCTCCACCCCCACCCCAGGCGCTCGGGCGGGGCTGGGGGGGGCAAAGAAGTGGGACCTGGTGATTCTGGGGGATGGGCATCTGCAGGGGTCTAATCTGGACTGGGGCCAGTCTGCAACTCAGTTTCACCAGTAAGGGGGGGCAGCTCCCAGGACTTTCCAGCCCTTCCCTGAGTCCTTGGCTTTAACCTTGGGCCGGGTAAGAGGATCCTTCCTGCACCCCCAGCAACCAGGGCTGGGGGTTTTCTGGCCTGGTGCCACCCCCAGAGCTGGGGGCTGCCACCAGGGCACCTGCGCCAGGCTTGTGTAGGTGCAAGGTAGGGGTGTGTGTGTCAGGGGGGGTGTCCCAGATGCCTCGATTCTGGGACACAGGACCCCGTGCTGTCTGTGTGTGCGTGCCATGGGTGTCCCGAATGCCTTCGTTTCAGTGTGTAGGGCACCTGGATTCTGTGAGTGTGTATACATGTCCGTGTGTAGGACACCTGGGTTCTGTGTATGTGTGTCCCAAATGCCAGGGTTCATGTGTGTGTGTGTGCGTGCGGGCATGTGCACGCACCTGTCCCAGGTGCCTGGGTTCTGCATGCATGTGTGTGTGCACTCATGTGATCTCAAGACGCCTGGTTCTGTGCTCAGCCCCCTCGCTCCCCACCAGGCCGGATGCATTGGCGCCACACACCCCTTCCTCCTCTCAGCAGGAGACATCCGCTGACTTTGGCCTCCCTGCCCAGAGGGTGGACTCTTCCTGCCCCCACTTAAAGCTGGAGGGTGAATGGAGCACAGGGGAAACTGAGTCACAGCCTCATGGAATTTCTGAGGGGAAGCTTGCAACACTGGGACCACTTGGGGTGCCAGGGCCAGGCCTCTGCCCCAGGGAGGTTCGGCCCAGATGGAGCTCCCCTGGGGGTTGCAAGCTTTCCCCAGTAATGCCCTGGGTGGTAGTAACCCCTTCTTGCCCACAGGGGGAGAACAAGGTGACCCAGTGCCAGCAGGAGGCAGAGGAGGTGACCCAGATCATGCTGGACAACTACTCCAAGGTGCTGGACCGTGAGGGGAAGCTCCAGGATCTGGACAGCCGGGCTGAGGAGCTGCTGGACATGGTACTAGGGTTTGGGGGGGATCCATAAGAAGAATCACCTTCTGCCATATAGGTCTTAGGGCACACAGGAGCCACGCTCTGGCTGTGGGCAGCAGGGGGTAGGAGTGTCCCCTGCTGGGATGGTCCTTGTCCTGGGGGCCCCTCAATGAGTGCTGAGAGCTTTGCACAACAGTGCCCCGATGCCGTGAGCTTCCCCAGAACAGTGCCCCAGGGCTGTGAACTTCCCCTCAGCAGTGCTGTGCATGCTGATGACCTCCTCTGGCCTCTGCCCACAGTCTACCACCTTCAGCAAGACAAGCAAGACGCTGGCCCAGAAGAAGCGCTGGGAAGACCAGAAGCTGCGGCTGGTGCTGGCTGGGGTCGCGGTGGGTGTCCTGGTTCTCATCATCCTGGCTGTGGCCTTGGCCCTTTCACTGCCTGGTGCTGGGACCCAGGTGTCTGGGCAGGCCGAGGTCCGTGCCTCTGCCCCCACCAACGGCAGCAACTGACTTCTGAAACACAACCACTTCTGGTGTGGACTTTGCGGGTGGGGGTGGGACCTGGAGATGCCGTGCCCCCTTCCCAAATTGGCCCCACCCACCTGGGAGCAGGGGGCTTGGGGGGGACTGTCAGCTTCCCACCAGCAGTGCCTGGCCTAGTCCTCCCCCCACCCCCCCGTGGTGCCTCAGTTTCCCCTGCCAGGTCCCTCTTAAGTGAGCTTTCTCTCACCAGTGCCTTAATACCACCCAGTCAGGACCCCAGCACTGAGAGCTTCCTCACAGCAGAGCCCTGACTAGGAGGCCTCAGTACTTCAGTTTCCCCAGCCAGGGCCCTTGAAGCCTGTGACCTTCCCCAACAAAGTGCCTTGATAAGTGTTCCCGAGACAAAGTGCCCCTGAGCCAGGACCCTGGTGCTGTAAGCTTACCCCCAGCAGTGCCCTAGTTTGGAGGCTTCGCTGGCTCAGTTTCCCTACCTGGGGCCCATTGAAGACTGTGAGCTTCCCCACTAGCAGTGCCCTGGGAGTGTTTCGCCAGAGCCTTGACACTACAACCTTCACCCTACCAGTGCCTCAGCCAGTTCCCCCTTAGTGGTGCCTCAATTTCCCCACCCAGGGCCCAAGAAGGCTGGCAGCTTCCCTAGCCCAGTACTGTGAACGTCCCTGGGACGGTACCCTAACCTTAACACCCCTCCCCCTGCCGTGAGATCCCAGTGCTGCGAGCTTCATTAGAGCAGTGCCCTCAGCCCCATGCTGCCCTCCACAGCCCAGCACCAAATAAAAGGAGTTTTCTAAGCTGGCATTGTTTGTCATGCTGGGGCCAGGGGCAAAGATCACCCGGATGTCTGGGTCCTTTTCCTGGCTTGGTCAGTGCCTCGCTCGCCATTTCCTGTCGGAGTTTCCCTTCTGGACAGCCAGGAGAAGAGAGGGTCCGGGAAGGGCTGGGTTCTGCCTCCCCTGCCTTGCCGAGGGTGGGGTCCCCCAGTGCTGCGAGCTTCCCCAAGACAGTGGCCCAAAGCTGTGAGCTTCCCCAGAACAGTGGCCCAGGGCTGTGAGCTTCCCCCAAACAGTGCTGCAGAGCTCCAAGCTTCCTCAAAACAGTGCTGTGGGGCTGCAAGCTTCCCTAAAACTGTGTCCTGGGGCTGCGAGCTTCCCCAGAACAATGGCCCAGATTTGCGAGCTTCCCTAGAACAGTGCCGCGGGGCTGCGAGCTTCCCCCGTGACGCTGCTATAGACTGCCCCACTGGCTACCTTCGGCGCGTTCTCATTGGCTCTGCACTCATTTCCAGTCCCCCGGCTCCAGCCAATCGCGGCTCTCCCTGCGCACTAATTGGCTGCCGCGGGGCCTTCTTGCCAGCTTATTGGCACGCACGCGCCGCGGGCTCACGACCGGAACCGAACCCGGAAGTGACTGCACGGGACGGACCCGATGGCGTCCTACTTCGACGAGCACGACTGCGAGCCTGGCCCGCCCGGCCCCGCCCTGCTGCAGCTCGCCCGGTCCGCGGGGGTCGAGTTTGGCGGGAGCGGTTCCCTGGGCCCTGGCCGAGATCGGGGCCGCCCCTTACACATCTTCCGCCCCCCTTTCCAGGACGCTGTTCCAGGGCCAGGAGCTGGACCTGAGCTCGCTGGACGCTGCGGACTGGGACCAGCGCCTGCCTCCGCCCGCGGCCCGCCGGGTAGTGCGGGACCTGCCCGCTGTATGCGTCACCCCCGCCCAGGCTGGTGCGTGCTGCGAGCTTCCCCCCAGTAGTGCCTCTTAAAACTCCGGGGGCCCAGGCTGCCCCACCCCCAGGCTCTCTGGGACCCAGGGGTCCGAGAGAGGAGGGTGGGGGCACTTTGTTCAGGGCTTGGGGGCGCAAGATGGGATTGATGGCTTCTCTCTGCCCTTCCGGGGCCCCCAGAAAAGGGGCTCAAGTGCCCCGTGTGCCTGCTGGAGTTCGAGGAGGACGAGCGTGCCCAGAAAATGCCGTGCGAACACCTGTTTCACTCAGCCTGTCTCCTGCCCTGGCTGGGCAAGGTGAGTGCCAGGGCTGTGGGGCGTCCCCCAGCCCCTCAGCTCTTGGGGCACCAGCAGTAACCCAGCCCTGGGTGGCTGGAGGGGGGATGGGGGAGGGTCCGGCCAGGCTGTGCCCCCCTTGGCACTGGCACAGAGCCGTTGGTGTGCCCCCCACAGACCAACTCCTGCCCTCTGTGCCGTCATGAGCTGCCCACGGACAACCCAGAGTATGAGGAGTACAAGAAGGACAAGGTGAGCGGGATATGGGGGATACCAGGCCCCCAGGAGGTTAAATGGGGGGGGGTGCTAGTGCCCCTCACTCCCAGACAGGCGCCGGGATGATGGTATAAGTGGCTGGAGTGGGCCAGGGGGCACTGGTGGGTGTGGGTGGGGAAGTCTCTGCCCACCACAATGCCCCACCTGATGTGTTGTAGGTGCGCCGGCAGCAGCAGGAGCACCGTCTGCAATATCTGCATGGGGCCATGTACACGTGACGGCACAAGCCACAGCCCAGCCCTGGGACAGCAGCCAGCAGTGCCCATTAAACCCATCTCTGTCAGCCAGCAGGGGAAGCTGTCATTCCTGGGCAGGCAAATGGGGCAGGGAGTCAGGGGTTGGCATAGACAGGACTTCTGTCCACCCCATAGCAACCAGGCCTCGGGGCCTTCCCCTCCATAGCAACCAGGCCATAGTCCCTCCCATAGCAAGTAAGTCTCTGCTGCCTGTTCCCCCCCCCCCCCCCCACCCAATAACAACCAGGCTTCAGGGTCCTGTCCCCTCCCCATACAACCAGGCTCCCTGGCATAGCACCAGGTCTCAGGGCCCTGTGTCCCATCCCCACAGCTACCAGGTCTCGGGGCCATCCCATCACCCCATAGCCACCAGGCCATAGACCCCCACACAGTGACCAGGCCAGGCCTATGCCAATCTGAGTTTCTTTATACACCTTCAATAGAGATATAAAAAAGGACTAAAAAAATCCCCAGGACCCCAGACCCCGCTCCAGACCCTTTGGCAGGGGGTGGGCAGCCCCTACCCCGTGGCTGTGGGCTGGACGGCAGCTGGAGGCGGCTGGGGCTGGGGAAAAGCGCCTCCAGGAGGGAATCAGCCCCTCATGTCAGATCAGGGAGGGAGGGTACTGCACCCTACTGCCTGGCTGGCATGGCCCCCACCCCCAGCCACGCTCATCTCTATCGCTCCCAGCCCCAAAGGACCTAGGAGCATGTTGGCACTGGTGGCATGAAGCTGGCATGACAAGGGAGGGGGCTGGGGCATTCCATAATACTGCTCGGTCTCTTTAAAAATGACCCTTTTTTGGTACAAAAGAACAAAAAAAAGGGGTGGGGTAGGGGTGGAGCTAAAGTGGTAGGGGGTAGGGGGTAGGGGGCAGGGCCATTGCAACGGGGCATGGCCAGGGCACTCGGGGGCAAGGCCAAGCCCCGCCCCACCCTCAGATCATGGCAATGCTTTCGGGGTTGCAGTTGAGGTGGGTGGAGGTACTGCTGCTGCCGGGGGACTTGCAGCCACGAGCGTGAGCCCCCTGCAAGGCGGCCACCAGCGTCTCACTGCTCACGGCCCCGAATTCATAGCTTAGCGTGCCGTAGAAGATGAGGATAGCCAGGACGAAGGCCCACTCGCACAGTGCCGCAACGTGCTGCAGCACCGGGCTCTCGTGGATGAAGAAGGCCCCGCCTAGCACCAAGCTAAGGAAGCCTCAGGCCCAGCATTTGCTCCCACCAGGCCCTGGACCTGACCCACCCCCTCCCACTGCATGGAGCATTCAGGATCCCTCCCACCTGCCCCGAGTCCTGGTGCCTGCAGCAGAAGGATACTGAGGACAAGGGTGACTAAGGCAAGGGCGGTGAGGGCAGCACGGGCATGGGCAACCCCCAGGTCCAGGGCAGAGGCAGCCATGTGGTAGGTGAGCACGCACTGCAGGCACACAAAGAGCAGCCCTGCCGGGAAGGCAATGCCAGCCCCGATGTAGTGCAGTGACTTAGCATGGTCCACCTGAGGGATGGAAGGAAGGGTTCATGAGGCTGGTATCCCCCCAGCCTGGCACTTGGTAAATCTCCCCTGCGCCACGCAAGACTGGCACTTTATCCCACCTGTGCTCAGCCAGTTATGCACCCTCTGCACCCTAGCACTTGGCACCTCCCACCTGTCAGGTGTCCCCTTAGCCTGGCACCCAAGCGTGGCATGTGGTACCTCCCACCTGCACCCAGGCAGGTACCCTTTCGTCTGAGCACTTGATACCTTCCACCTGCTGGCAACCACAGGTAGGTATCCCCTTAGCCTGGAACTTCATACCTCCCACCTCCACCCAGTCAGGTGCCCCCCCCAGCCTAGCACTTGGTATGTCTCACCTTGTAGGTGACCCCCCAGCCTAGCAACCCCGAAGCCCCCCCATAACTGCCCCTGC